TCGTCAGTTGAGCAAAGAAAAATAATCGATTCGTAGGCGGAAGTGCTGGCGTCCGAGAACACATGCAACAACCGGTGGGCTATGATGCCGCTCAGTCAACTGTCGTAGTACCTGGGTACGTTTATCTGCCCCAGTTTCATGAGCTCGTCGCACCAAATGTTCCAGTCTTCCATCACTTCTCCGGACAGCGCATCATTCCAACGCAGGTTCGTCTTCCAGATTTCCTGAAACAAAATCTTGGCTCGCACCACGAAAGGGGAGAGGAAACCGATTGGGTCGTAGAGGCACGCCGTGGTCTGGAGTACAAATCGACTGGTGTTGCTGCGTTTATTCGTAAACTTGACCACCTGTTCTGTCATAAAAGACTGTTTGTCTTCCTTCGACACCCACGTTATACCCAGCACTTTCACCACTCCCGTCAGCTGTCCAATGGCTCTCTTTTCGGCGCCGTTGTCCTCCAGCATTTCATTTAGAACTGCGCTATTGGGGCCTCACTTATAAAGATTCATTCTAGCTACTCCGAATATTTCGATTGTCTCGGTGTAGAACCTCTGGGCCGTCTCCTGACTTTCTGTGCCGGTCAAGAGATCGTCAACATATTCTGATGTTTTTTCTTTTTCTTTTTTTTTTTCTTTCTTTTTTGTTTGTGGGAGCTCGCCTTACTCGCCTTTTATACCTTTGGAATGGTGCTGTGGGGTTGCTCCAAATAGAAAAGGACTAGACATGGTACCGAAGGTTACCCTTGTCCTACGCCTGACCTCGACATCTGGGGTAGGCTGCTCTAGGTGAGGCGACTCTTTGCACCAGAGAAACCGCCACGCGTAGTGCTTTTCCTCGTGTGCATAGATCTGAAGGAAGGCCTTCTCGACGTATGCAATTAGCGTTTTTTATATTTCCTAAACCTCAGGAATTGGGCCACCAGGTCTGGAGTCAGGTTTGGACCGCCTTCAAGGTTGTTGTTTAATGATCTGGAGTTCGGTCCGTGTAACGACGCGTTAAACATGGTCCTCATTTTTGTCGTCTCTCGCAGAACAGCTTGATGTGGCATATAATAAACACGCCCTTCTGGGCTTTTTGTGTGTTTAACCTTCTGAGCTAGCGTTATACTTCAGTTGCAGTCAGGTGGACCATGCCCTTTGGACTGGCAGAAGAAACATTCGAGGCCGTCCACAACACCATTCAGAGCCGCCGCAGTAGAGTTTAGTGGCCTGTCGTGATTAGTAGGCATCTTCTGCGCATCGCGCTTGGTAAAATGGGGGTGTGGATTTACCACCCCGTGCGGGACTTTGAAGTCATTTGGAAGAAAAGATGCACGCGAGGCGCCCACTGAAAGACACGTGCACAATTGCGAAAGACTAAACAACACCGCCAGATAACACACATAGAAATCACAGGGACCGGGAGACACGCTAGTCGCTGGCGCGAACGACGAAGCCCCTAAAAGGGTTGCGAGCAATTGCCGCGAGGGCGCGCCACGATCGTGGCCAAACTCTGAAAAAGGCTAATTATTTTGAGTCGACGTGAAATTTCCGCGAATGGAGCTATGTGACTTATTTCGCTCGAAACTAAAATTGTTGATAGTAACTCAAATGTTAAGATATTCACTGATCCAATCACGAAACCCAAGTAGTGATCTTTTGCGGGGCAATCTCATTCGTCACATTGCATAAAAAATCGAGTTGTCATATGAGTGTTCCGCGTGACGAGTATTCCGGCATGACAAGAGTTCCTCGTACGAAATGTCCCGTGACGAGTTGGCCCACCGGACGGGATCACCTATCGCCAGTTGGCCTGTGCTGTGACGGCTGGACTTGTGACGAGTTCTTCTAACCCGCCTTAATGTTTGCTTCATGCATAGGGTGACCAGACGTCCCGTTTTCGCCGGGGCAGTCCCGTTTTTTGAGGTCCTCTTCTGATTCTTTTTCCCCCCATATAAGTGCGTCGACTTTTACAACCGAGTTTTGCAGGATAAAGTCCTGCTTATGAGACTTCAGTCGTCGGCAAAATACGCCCACACCAACGAATGACCCGAAGCAGGACCTTCCAAATGAGTGAATGCAACTGAACTGTGAGTGTGACTGGCTTAGTGCACTATGGTAACGGTTTAAAATTAGAGTAGATATTTCCATTAAATTTTTTCTTCCAATCTTAAGCTTTAGTACACCCCCGCCCGCTGGAATGTCCCGTTTTCTACCTTGAGGAATATTGCCATCGTGGTCATATACATATTCATGTTTCGGACACTTGTACACAGTTCTTGTACGACCAACGAAAGGAGCGTCATACAAGGCAGACTGTCTTGTACGATGTATTGGTCGTCTGACCGCGGCCCTCTGAGTTCCGGGTTTCATTCTCGCATGTCGATCACAAAGTTTGGTCCATCGTGGAAGAAGTGTGGCGTGCTATCTAAAGTACGTTTATTTATCGCGGACAAACTGATGCGTTCTAAAAAACTATATGGTCATAAAATTACTCTTAGAAGTTGTTCGCGTTGTTCATGTTATGTTATTCTAGGATTCAAATTGTTAAAAAACCTTCAAGATTTCTTTTTTTTTTTTTTTTTTTTTGGAAGTCCCTGTTTCGAGGCGAAAAAGTAATTCATCGCCCATTTGCCTTTCTAGTGCTTTAGAGGACGATAAGGTTTGCGGCGAAAGAGTTGTTCATGAGCTGAAAGAGTTCTTAGGACGTCGAAGAACCTTTCAAGAACTGAGTTTTTTTTAGAGTATGGGCTCAAATTTAATTGATGTCTGCATGACTCTAACTTAATACTTATTCTTGAACTACACTTTTCGAGACGGTTCTATGCTATGTGGCATTCCACCCTGGCATTCTGGGGATGCACTTTTAGAGTGACCTTAGTCACCATTTTTGTATTCCGAACTGGGACTTTTCTTAGCTAATTTATTACTAAATTAGTTCAATATTATTTCTAGATCTCAGTTTTTTCATAAAGTGCGAGGTTAGACATTATAGATTCACCTTTCTGAAACAACGAAAGAGCAAACCCAGACAGAAGTCCCCTAAACAAAACTTTCCATATACAGCGAACAGGAGTTACTACAAAACAAAACATTGCTCCCCACGTAAACATAAAATTGACAGCTTATTTTGAAGAGGTATAATAGACGCCTTTCGGAAGGTACTTGCGGATTACTAGAAAGTCGGAACCGCTGCCACAAAGGCGAAACAACTGACATCGTGGAACGTGCAAGTCATTCCGTAAGATAGCAAACGTCAGAGCGCAGCCAACGCCGGGAGCCGACGACCAATCAAACAGCGTCGAAACTGCAACGCCACTGCGCGCTCAACTTTTCTTTTTTTTAGAGCGCGGCTCTTAGGCGCCCGTTTCCGGCTTGAGTGGCGTCGCCGTCGCCGTCGCCGTCGGCGTAACCGTGCGTTGCATGCAACGCGCATGGAAAGATTGCATGCAACGCGTTGCACGCAAGCGGAGTAAAGGGCCATACGCACATTCGCGTTTGAACGCGTTTGAGTGCGTTGCGGAGTCCTTGCGGCCAGGCGCGGTCGCTTGCAGAGCGACGCGCGCCTTCCCGCAACGCTCGGTAGCGCGACGCGAGCGAGTAGAGACTCGCTCAACTTTCCGAAGCGTTGCGGTGCGTTCGGGTGCGTTCGACCAATCAGAAGCCGAAAGAGGAGAGGGGGTGACGTGTTCGCTCGCCCCACCCGGCCGACTCGGCGAGACGTATCCGGTTCGCAAGTCGCAGTGCTTGCTTTTTCGTTTTGGGGAGCGGCAAGGACTGTATTTTCTAAGGCTGCGATGGTTCAAGCTTGACAAAACGTCGGGGAAGCCGGCGAGATTGTCTCAAGATCGAACACCGACGCCGTCGCCGTGCGCCGCCATGTTGCCTTGGATTTCGCTTACTATTGGTGAGCCACTAGCGACGATAGCGCGTTCTTATTGGCTCTTGACTGCGGTTGACTGCGTGTCAACGCAACTGTGCGTACAAGCTTGGCGCAAGCGGTCTTCGCAACGCAACGCGTCCGCTTGCCGCTACTGAACGCACCGCGCTCAAACGCGAATGTGCGTATGGGCCTTAACCGCGCGCTGCATGCGCGTTGTATGCAACCCTCGCGTTGCATGCGCGTTGCATGCAACGCGTTGCATACAAGCCACGTAACCTCGCGTTGCATTATGGGTAGTTTGCCATAATGACGTCATGAGGCGTACCCTCGTGAGTGTTACGAGGGTTACTTTCACGAGGGTTATGAGGGTTACCGTCACGAGGATCACGATGGTTACTCTCACGAGGGTCACGAGACTTACCCTCACGAGGGTTGCGGGGGTCAGTTACCCTCAAAAGGGTTCCCTCATGAGGGTCACGAGGGTTATTCTCACGAGGGTCACGAGGGTTACCCTCATGAGGGTTATGAAAGTTACCCTCACGTAACCCCCCCCCCCTGAGGTCACGTGACCCCCCCTGAGATCTCGTGACCCCTCCCTAAGGTCACGTGACCCCCCCCCCCCTGAGGTCACGTGACCTCAGGGAGTCACCTATCCCCTCAGTACCCTTCCATCCTCCTCCTCAAGAGCTGCGCTCTAATCCGGCTTTACCGAGAAATGTACGCGGCTTCCATTTTTTTCTATAAGTGTTTTTACATTTCTGATCTGAACAAGCGCATAAATTGTGCCGTGACGTTGCGGCTTTAGTCCGCCATTGTGCAAGTCCCAGAGCTGCGAGCAGAGGGCAGTATCTCGAAAGGGTTCTTAGAGTTCTTAGCTAAGAGCTTCGTACAAGTAGCGACATTTTTTGAAGCGCCGACTGCGTGACGGTACTGACTTTAGGAAGCGAATGGTGGCGCACAGCACGGGTATGAACTGAATGCCGCCATTTTGTTCCAGCGGAATGTGCTTTTTCATTTGTATTGGTTGTCGCTACTTGTAAAAGAGATATCAAGGGACTTTAAGGGGTCTGGCACTAAAAAGGTCAATAGCGTTAAACGTTTTAATGCTTAGCCTACTTTGTGCGCTCGTTTTTGCGCAGGCTTGACCTCGATCGCGCGGTGAAGATGGCAGACGCGTCGCTCAAATGGCGGGCCCAGGCTCGCCTGCACGAGCTCAGCGAGGCGAACATCCCCGAAGCCTGCCTTAGCGCGGGCTTCGCGTACCCCATGAACCTCGACCGCTACGGGAACCACGTGCTCCTGCTCAGGTTGTCGAAGACCGGGCGGCTGCCCCTCCAGGACGTGCGCCGACTGCTCATCTTCATGGTGGAGTCGCTGCTGCGCAAGCAGAACGCCAGCCGCATCACGCTCCTGGTGGACTGCGCAGCCGCGGACAGACGCCAGCTGGACCTAGCGCGCTTCCTGACGGCCATCTTCAGGTGTTACTACCCCAGGTGGGACGTTACGTTTCGAGTGGAAAAGTACAGCGCCTGTCCCGTCTTGGTTGTTTCCTCCTTCTTGTCTTTGTCGTTCTGCGCTGTTTTAATGTTTAGCCTGCACCAAAAGCCCAGCTTTCAACTTTGGAGACCCTTTTCAAAACCCCACCAACTATGGTACGCGGAAGGCGTATCCGCCAGGTGATGCTCACCGCGTGTCCTAAAAAAAATGGCATTGAAGTGTCACGTTGTCGCCGACCGCGTTCCTTGCGGCGCTTGTTCTCCCGAATTTCTATAGCTTGACACACCTTGACGACAACGACCATTGTGGAAAAAATCACTAAAGAGTGCGACCGCGTTCCCTCATGCTTTTCCCCAGAACTTCTCCGCCCCAACGCCAGGATCGCGACATTTGACAACGTGACACTCCGGCTTTTGCGCCGTCATTTGTTACCAGTTCGGGACCACTTTCGATGCACGGCCGGAAAAGGACGCTAAGCACAGCAGTCGGAGACACGTTTCAGGCGCCGACAAGCAACATTGGCGTTTTCCATTTTGTTGGGCACGAGGCGGATCCGAGCCCTCGGCAAACGCCGACGACTCGTTCTCGGTATACGCCGAGTCGAGTTCAGGCCAACCTCTGGCGGGAAACATAGCGAAACTCTGATAATTGGCAAATCAACTAGATAGCGCGCAGTTTCGAAAAGGGTATATTGCAAGCTGCGTTTTGCTTCGTCAATCGAACCGTCATATGGAGAATTGCGTTGTGTGAGAACCGCAGCCGGTGCTCACGTTCAGTCTCGGCCTATCCTGACACGCGTCGTCCTCTCCAACGTCTTCTTTCTTGCGGTGACACACGCACGTGTCACGTGACTGTGACGTAGAGCAGGCCCATGGAGCACAACGAGAGCGAGGTGCAAATGTGGAAAGGGCAAGAGTGTATTCTCTCTTCCTCCGTTTACCTTCTCTCAGGGGGAGCAGTTCCATGCCTGCACGGTTCCGCTAGAAAGCATTTCCGCAAGTTGGTGGTAGGGCAAAACACCTCCTATGGTTGGTGACACGTAAAGGGCGAAGTGGAAGCTCCTCCCACCTCTTTCGACTTCAGCAGAGCGAAGACTGGAGAGGAGGCGATCTCCTCTCCATCGTTCGCTCTGAATTGAAAGATTATGAATTATGCTCGTTGTGTTGTGCATGGTTTGAAAGTTACTTGGGAAGTCGGACAATTCAAGTCAGAAAATCAAACTGTGTATCCAAGCCATTTTCACCTTCATCTCGCGTGACAAAAGGTTTTAATCTGAGACTGTTTTTGTTTTTGGTGCTTGTTCATACTTTACCGTCCGATTAAAAAAAAAGCTCAGAAATGCTCATGTCTGCTGATAACTTAAAATTTTTCCGTAAGTGTGAAAATGTGAATGACAATTCATACGTAAAATGGCACTTGCTGCTTTGAGCGGATGTCAAAAGACGGTAGTAAAGTCCCTTGGGAGAAAAAAAGACGGAGAGGGAAAGAGTATAGTTTTTGAGCATACACTGTTGGATGGACGCATATGGCGAGAACGTCATGTGCGCGATCTTGGTGTTTTTGTAGATTCCGGTTTGGAACTTTTGCCTGCATGTTTCTTGGATTGTTGGTCAGGGACTTCACTTTCTGGGTGCAATTTCCCGAATGGCGAAAAAATGTCGTCCCTTTGAGTGTTTCTCAAGTCTCTGCACTTGTAAGATCGCGTCTTCAGTTCGCGTCTGTGGTGTGGAGCTCTGTCGCGATGCCGCAGAGCAACCTAATAGTCTATATCCGAAATTATTCGAACGTCTGGCAGCAATCTGTGCGCTCTCACCTTAGTTGCGTCAAGATACTTCTGCTGTTTGTCAATGTCCTAGCTTTGTTGGTAACAATTGACGTCTACAGCTCACCGTCATCGATCCTCACCCACACCTGCGAGCTAAGGGCTAGTAATGTTTTACTCGCTCGTCGACCCGCCGGTCGCTGGTTTCTCGCCGCAACCAACATGGCAGACGTACAGCTCGAAATTTAGCTCCGAGTGCCGGCTATGGCACGGGCGCCTGGTTTTCAAAAGCGGTTTCTCTCTGCGCGAGTGCTTGTGAGAGCGAAGGTTGGTTCAGAACTGCGCTTTCGTGCCCCGGCCTTTGGCAGCGCCGAAGCCAATAGACCATTTGCAGTCTCTCCCAAGCGCCCCGGCGCGCGCGCGAGGAATCTTGGGATCGGTGTTCTGTCGGCCCCCGTCGTCTGGCTGCTCTCCGTTGGAATCGCATCACCTCGCCCTAGACATACTTTTCATCTTCGTTGTTTATACTTAATAATCCTCTTTTTTATCTACTCCAGTGTATTTTTCTTGTTCATAAGTGTATCTATTTCGTTCAGCGCTTTGTATTTCTTCTGTATATTACGTGTTTTTGTGCATATTCCATCGTTTTCGACGCGGCCGTCGACGGACACCACGCCGCTTCGTTCGCCGCTCCCGGGGTGAGTACTGACTGTTGCCGTTACGCTCTATCCCGCTCCTAGGCCGTTCATTTAACTCGTGTGCGGTCGCGAGAGAGCAGTTTCGAACATCACTACAAATGTCACCGCTGTAAGCAGAGAAATAAAGTAGTCATCACGAAGCGAAGGCCGACATGCCTTCGCTTCGTGATGCGCTCGCCCTGTGAAATGTGAGCGTGGGATATCGAGTACTGCTTGCGTGCTCAACATTCGGGACGGTGCTTTGTCGTTGCGATCTTTTTGCCCTTCGGACGCTTGCGAAGCTGTACCAGCGGTCGGCGTGCCTCGGCAGCGCTCGTCAACAACCGTCCGCGCAGCATCACATCCTTCGCGTTCGGTTCTTCGTCGCGGCGGGAGAAGGGGTTCTGACTGCGTTTTATGCATAGTATGGGGGAGATTCCATTGTTTATCGAAATTACAGTTCAGCTAGCGCGCTCACTGTGGTGAGGCAAGATTGCCCCTGCGAACCGCGCTAACACAGCGTCCCGCGAGTGCATATCTTTATTGATCATCCCGTTTTCACGCAAGCGCGTGCATATGAAATGCTAGACACTTTTTAGTGGCTCTGCGAACTGCTTCTTTTGGACGAACACTGACGCATTGAAAGCTGGAGTGTCTTTGCCACTCCTGTACAACACTTCACGGTCGTGCCAGCAGCTTTATGCTGCTGGCACGAAACGGATTATGGTCAAAACGCGTTCTTCGTATTCAGAGCTGCACTATATCATGGACACTGACAGGGCAGCAGCAACAAGCAGCTCAGTGACACTGGAGATGCTTGTCCCCAATGCCAGTGCGTGGCTTGCTTTCAGAATGCTCCTTCGACTGTGTAATGTTCGAAAGTGCACAAGAAGTTGTAGATTACAAAAGCTGGCATGTTTGCCTAATAGCAAACGCTCTTTTTTTAGCACAAAGTTTACAGCAGGCTTTTTTTGAGGGGTTGTTACCCTAGATGAACTCTTACTTCGCAAGTTTAGGTTAATTCTGTCAAAACAACACCAAACCCATTAAAAAACTGTGTTGGTCAAATTTCCGTCCTCCTTTTAAAACGCTGACTGAGCTGCCTTTTTTTCAGGGAAGGCTATGGCGACACGGGATGTACCAGAGCCGCAAGAGCTACCACTTCCAGCAGGACCTTGGACCAAGCAGCTGAAGGACTTTCCTTCCGCATTCTCGGAAAGCCACATCCAAGGGCATGGCCAAGCAGCTGGAGCACAGAAGCACACAAGTTCTGGCTACAAAATGTTCAAGGCCCACAAAGTGCAGAACATCTTCCTCCACACCACAAGTGCATCAGAGACAATTGTCAAGGCTAACGTGGAGGCTTCCATGACCCTTACGAAGCGATACGCAGTGCATGCTGTGCTCTGCCAAGATGGGCAGGTCAGCAAGGCTTCCTGTTCCTGCAAGGCTGGACAAGGCGGTGTGTGCAAGCATGTGGCAGCACTGCTTTGGCACATGCTAGACCTGATAAGGGAGGGAAGGTCCTACATCCCGGATGCTCTGGCCTGCACTGAGGGAGCAAGGCAGTGGGGCCCATCTTCAAAGAGAGGTGCAAGTACGGTGTCGTTCAACGAACTAGAATTCGTCAAGCACGACTCTAGCAACAAGGCGAAGAGTGCGAGAAAAACCACGGAAGTGCATGTGGACGTGGCGCAGGCAACCGTCAAGAGGCTGCATACAGATTTCATTGAGAAGGGAATATTCCCAATGTTTGCGGACGTGATGGAAGAAGCTGCCTTCACACCCTTGCCAAGGAAGGTTCAGGAGCACTCGAACACGGATGATGGGGCCTCTGCAGCACGGATCAGCTTGCCCATAAAAGAGTGCTGGAATCACCAGATGCCACCAAGCGATCCATGCACCCTGACTCTTACACAAGCTCAGCACCTGGAGGAACAGACACGTGGCCAAAGCAGAAGTATGCTGTGGCACACGGAACGTGAGAAAAGGATCACGGCATCACAGTTCGGAGACATCGTCAAACGACAAGCACCCGTGAACGAAAAGTTTCTCAGGACGATTTTCTCGGGCGGACATGGCACGACACGTCACATGAGGGCGGGACTTCAGAATGAGGCGGCTGCTCTGAAGCGCTACAAGGCCAAGCAAAAGGTCCAAGTCTTCAGTGTTGGCCTTTGCATCAACCCTGGCCTTCCCATGCTGGGGGCATCACCAGACGGGCTGGTCTGGGACGAAGATATACAGGAGTACGGACTAGTCGAAGTGAAGACCGTGTCACGGGCGATAGATGCGAACCTGACGACCTTCGAGGAGGTGATGAGCAGAGGGTTTGTGGAGTTTATCCATGCGGACAAGAGTGTCGACAAAAAGCACAAGCACTACTACCAGGTGACAGGACAACTTGCGCTCACAGGACTGGAGTGGTGTGACCTTGTTGTTGACTGGGCGAAAGACTGCTGGGTCACACGGGTGCCCTTTGATGAGGCACTCTGGGTGAACGTTATGGTGCCACGCCTGACAGACTTTTTTTTTAAATATCGGAAAGACTGAGTGT